ATCTGAACTTTTGTCCTTCAACCTTCCCCTCTTTCCTCTCTATCCTTCCTGCCTCCTCTTCTCGCCTGGCTGCTCAACCTTTAGGTCATAGCTTAAATGTGTCTACACTAGAAAAGTCTTCCATGACCACCCTCACCCATTCACCCACCCACCCACAGACAGGTAGAAGCACCTGCCCACACATGTGTGTGCACACACACACACACACACACACAGTAGGTACCTCTTTTTTAACGATGTTTTTGAAAGTTGTACTCTTCTTCATAGTACCTCTTCTGAGTTTTATAATTATTTTATTTTATTTTATTTTTTTTTTTTATTTTTTTGCGGCACGCAGGCCTCTCACTGTCGCGGCCTCTCCCATTGCGGAGCGCAGGCTCCAGACGCGCAGGCTCAGCGGCCATGGCTCACGGGCCCAGCCGCTCCGCGGCATGTGGGATCTTCCCGGGCCGGGGCATGAACCCATGTCCCCTGCATCGGCAGGTGGACTCTCAACCACTGTGCCACCAGGGAAGCCCTATAATTATTTTTTTGAATGTTTGTTCAATTTTGATCTTTCATGTTACCCTCCATGAATACTTCTCTTTCTCATTCATCATTGTAGCCATAGTGCATGGCAGTGAGTTAGGCACCTAATAAATATTTGGTGAATGAATCAAGCTCAGTAACTGTTGAGTGCTGGGCACTTTGTCAGTCCTAGCTCAGGGCTAATATGTATTTCTAGAAGCTAAGTCTTGAGCTAATTTGTTATATAGCTGATAATGTTTTTTTTAAGGCCAGTTTAATGATTGTGAGTTCTATCTCAGATGAAAGTATTTATATTGTTATGTATCTTTAAAACAAAGATACAACTGTAAAACATAAATGCCCAAATTATTTGAAATGATAACATTGTTCTCCATATCCAGTAGAATAGGCATAAATGGACTCCAGACATTAACCCTCTGTTTCATAAGGAAACCCATTTATTGTGCTTTATGTTGTTAGTACTTGGAGGCTACAGTGAGGAGCCCCAAGTACTTTGGTATGAGGTAAATATAACACATCAAGAGTTTAACCTTTAAAAGCACCACAGATTTATTTTATATGTATGTAAATTTTAAAAATGTAAACATACATACATATGCATAATTTTTTTCCGGAGTCAGTGGGTGGCAAAGTATAATCTGGGGCTCATGAGAAATCTCCAGGATCTTTTGAGGTTCATAAGGTCAAAACCTTTTTCACTCTTGTTTCACAAGTGTACTGTGAAGTTTTCCAGAGCATACCTGACATGTGATACTGTATCAGATTTAGTGTGGAAGCAAGCAGATAAGAGAATTCAACTGTCTTCTATATTAAGCTAAACATTAAGGAGATTTGCAAAAATGTAAAATAATGCCACTCTTCTTTTAATTTGGAAAATGTGTTATTTGTGTTAACATATAGCAGATTAGGGGTTCTGAGACCAAAATGCAAACCACTGCTTTAATGAGACAAAAAATTCCCAGGTCTGCTAAATGCTCACTGTATTTGATTAAATTTTAAAGAATGTGTCTGTCACAATCTGGGTTAATTAATAATGGAAGCACATTAAAGGAATAATCAGAGACCAACATGTTTTGTTAGTGTTTTTTCACTGAAGAAGAGAGCCTTAGCTACCAGTAAATCAGACCCCATTGGCAAAGCCAATTATTAGAAAACTGTATATACCAGGTTATCTTAAGCTGATACCATCAAATATTTGATTTTTTCCATCTCCTATTGTTTTGATTCTTCCTCCATGTAGTTGTCTGGTTATGATGTTTTATAGTCATAGAACCATAAAACTGGAGATGACCTCATGCAGGTCTACCTACAGAGAGAAAATTTGCTGAGCACATTGATTGAAATATTCTTGCCTATGATGACAGTTTCCCTTATTATCAGTTAATACTGATGTCTGATTGTGAGTGGTTCTTCTTTGTAGAAAGATAAGGTGCCAATATGGATTTGAATTTTATGGTCTGAGACAACCATTTCTCATTGTAAATGTATAAAATGGCCCTCTATTTTTTATGCATCAGATTTTTAGCCATGGCTAATTAATATCAGTCTTTCCTCAATATCCTTATTTAGGGTGTCAGCAGAATCAGTGTAGGGGCCTGCCTGTAAGGACAAATGTCATACATTATACACTCTAGTCTTTAGTAGATTCATCCAGCCACTTGGGGTATAGTGTGATAATTTATGCAATAATGAAAATCTTAGCTCTGGATCTAATATTTTTAAAATTAGTAAACTTTTTCTTAGAGCAGTTTTCAGTTGATAGCAAAAATGAGGAGAAAATAAAGCGAATTCCTATGCTAATTTTTTTTAAGTTAATTTTTCAGTATCTGAGAATAGAACTTTTTGGAGATTATTTGAGGTATTTTTTGTTCTGTTTTGTTTTTTAAATCTTTAAGGAAGGCCGAGCTGTTGCTTCAGTTGTAACATAGTCTTAGAGCAGGCAATGATGATCAAAATTATGCCATTGACCATTAAGCTGCTGGAGCATGAGAATGAGAATTTGGAATGGGTTTGTTAGATGGAGGAAGGTAGTAAGTAATGTATTGGGTTGGCCAAAAAGTGCCTTCGGTTTTTAAGTAAAAATAAAAGACATTTTCCATTTTCACCAAGAACTTTATTGAACAACGTGTTCACCCTTTTGTTCCACTACTTTCTGCCATTTTCCAGGCAACTTCATAATTCCATCTTCCCAAAACGTTTTACTGAGCAAAGATTTATTGAACAACGTGTTCACCCTTTTGTTCCACTACTTTCTGCCATTTTCCAGGCAACTTCATAATTCCATCTTCCCAAAACGTTTTACCTTTTTGAGCAAAGAACTGTTCCAGGTGCCTTTTACAGTCTTCCAGGAAATGGAAATTTTTTCCATTAAGAGAATTTTGTAAAGACCAAAATAAATGGAAATCTGAAGGTGCAATTTCTTATGAATACGGCAGATGAATGAGAACTTCCCGGCCAAGCTTTAACAGTTTTTGCCTGGTCATCAAAGAAATATACAGTCTTGCGTTAGCCTGATGAAAGATTATTCGCTTTCCGTTGACTAATTCTGGACGTCTTTCGTCAAGTGCTGCTTTCAGTTGGTCTAATTGGGAGCAGTACTTGTTGGAATTAATCGTTTGGTTTTCCGGAAGGAGCTAATAATAGAGGACTCCCTTCCAATCTCAATACACACAACATCACCTTCTATGGATGAAAACCAGCCTTTGGTGTGGTTGGTGGTGGTTCATTTCGCTTGCCCCACGATCTCTTCCGTTCCACATTATTGTATAGTATCCACTTTTCTTCTCCCATCACAATTTGTTTTAAAAATGGAACGTTTTTGTTATGTTTCAGTAGAGAAATTGCATGCAGAAATACGGTCAAGAAGGTTTTTTTCGCTTAACTTACGTAGAACCCAAACATCAAAGTGATGAACATAACTAAGCTGGTGCAAATGATTTTCAATGCTTGATTTGGATATTTTGAGTATCAGCAATGTTGATTGTTCTCAATTAATGTCTCGATTTGATCGCTATCAACTTCAGCTGGTCTACCTGACCCGTGGAGCATTGTCCAGCGAGAAATCTCCAGCGCGAACTTCACAAACTATTTTTGACATATTTGATAGGTCACAGCACCTTCTCCATACACCACAGAAATATTTTTTTGCATTTCAGTTAAGTTTTTACCTTTCTTGAAATAATAAAGCATAATATGCTGAAAATGTTGCTTTTTTTCTTCTATCTTCAATATTAAAATGGCTACACAAAAATTCACCAATTTTGATAAGTCTTTTTTAAAATGCACGTTGATATGACAGCTGTCACATACAATCTAACGAAATTGTTTCGAATGAAATTAAAGACAACTAAGTGCTGCTAGAGCCATCTTATGGAAAAAACTGAACAAACCTTTTGGCCAATGCAGTAGTTTGCTAGGGAATCAATAATAGCAAATAAATAAAAGGATTACCAAAGAACATTAAATACCCTATTGATATTACACATTAACTTTTCATCATTATCTCAGGAACCTGATTTTCTTGGCTAGTTTCAATCAGATAAAGTCATTTAACCCCATGATTATTATTAAATACACCTACTGATAATTCTAGAGTAGAAAGTGGCAGGTTTTAGGTAAAGGTCTTGGATTTTTACAGTTGAAATTAATAGGTAGTGGTTGTAAAAAAAAAAAAAAGTCAAGTTCTATTTGTAAAAAGTAAAGTGAAAACGTTAACACATGCATAAGGGAAGGACTTTGGATAGTGAGATTGAGTATTTTTATTGCTTTATTTATGCAAATATGAATTGTATAAAAAAGTTTTTTTTTTCATGTGACAATGTTTTTGTGATGCGGAAGATACATACTTTTTTAAAACTTAAGGCAGCCTGAAAGTACCTAAGGAAAGAATAACTGTAAGATATTCTTTTAACTTTCTAAGTATTTTTTGCCTTATTATTTAACTTGTATAACTTTATGTATGTAAAATGAAAGAAGAAAGATGTAACTTTTTAAAAAATACTCTTAGAAAAGCTAAGTTGCCTCATTACATGGTATTTTTATTACTTCTTAGGGTCATAGTTTTTGTTTTTTGATTAAAATCTTTTTATCAAAATTCATTTTAATGTTAATTTTTAAAAGCCTAATAATATAAGTTACAAAAATGTGATTTATTATGAAAAGGTGTATTTACATTAAGCTTTTAGGAGCATAATTACAAGGAATATGTTCATTCTGAGATAGTACAGTTGAAACAATTCTTTGCTCCTTGTGCTGGAAATCAGTATCTCCCTACCAAAAGTATTTCTATCTTAATGTATTTACAAATTATTTGGAGACAAAAGGTTTCTTTCTGACCATGACTTGGTTGACTTTAACTCTTTAAAAATCATTTATACCTCACATTTTATAACAAGATAGAAATGTATGCGTTAGTGGTTTGTGGCAAAGTAAAAGGTATCATTATCTATATTCTCTCTTTTTTTTTTCACTAGGCATTTTTATTACCAATTTGTGAAGCAGCAGCTATGAGAAAAGTGGTAAAAGTATATCAAGAATGGATCCAGCAAGAGGAAAAGCCTTTGTTCATGCAAGAGCCTGAAGAAATTGTGATCTCATCTTCAGACTTACCATGCATTGACAATGTCACAGACCATGATATTTCAATGGAAGAAGGAGAAAAGAGAGAAGAGGTAAAATAAGACTTACGTATTTTAGTATGTTTAACAGATTAGATTTTCACAGAGTGAGATAATATGGGATAAATGGGAAGATAAAGATACCTTTGAGTATACAGTTGATCCTTGAGCAACATGGGTTTGAACTGTGTGGGTCCATTTATACAAGGATTTTTTCAATAGTATTGAATAAGTACTACAGTACCACATGACCCATAGTTGGTTGAATCTTTCAGACACGGAGGAACCTTTGGTACTGAGGACCAGCTATAAGTCATATGCAGATTTTTGACTGCTCAGAGGGTTGGCACCCTAAACCCGGTGTTGTTCAAGCATCAGTTATATTTTGCAATTTAGTTAACGTAACAGTTACCTCAGTACCCTATCCCAAAGCTCTTTGATGTGACAACGTTAAAAGAGGTTGTATTCTGATTCTTTAAGTCATTGCCTGGATCAAAATTAGATGCTATTATAAAAGGTATAATATTTATAAGTGTGGAATTCCCTTTCTGTCCAGTGGTTAGGACTTGATGCTTTCACTGCTAGGCCTGGGTTCGATCCCTGGTTGGAGAGCTAAGATCCCCCAATACATCTTAGAGTGATTACCAAAGTGCAGTTCCCCCTTGCCTGTCTTATTCATTTAGACTTCAGGAGTAAATGGAACCAGGGACCCAAATTCCACTCGTGCTCTCTCTTATCTCATTCTTTCCCCTCTGTGAGTAAACTGCAGTACTTCTTTTCACAGACCAGCTTACTTAACAGGTCAGGATGTTTTTTATTCTGCAGTCAGCTCTAGTTTAGAAATTCCCAAGAAAGAATTCAGAGTATTCTGGTTTGTGTTTCACACTTGCCTTTGGTCAGATTCTCACCAAAAAGTTACACTCTGATATTGACATATATCTTACTAAATCCAGATAGGAGCGACTTGGTAATCACCTTGGTGGTTAATTTAACTTCATCAGTGGATTTTTTTTCAGGATATTAACATATAAATGAATAGTAGGCAACATTCTATAGGGATTCAATGAATCAATATTTATATATGAATATGTATATATGATATATATGTATATATCATGCATATATACATGCATATATGATATATATGTATATATCATATATATACATACATATATATATGTATGTATGTATATTTGGCATCCTCCCCTAGTTCTAGAGGGAAAAAATGAAACTAAGAAATATAATTAAAGTAAATAAAATTATATAAATTATGAAAGAATATTCACAGTTGTATTTGTGTACCAGCAAAAGCATCCAGTTTTTGCATCAAGCTAGAAAATAAACCTATCAGTCTAAATAATTTGTTCCCCTCTAGTTTTTTGTTATGAATTTATAGCTCAATACTGAGCCTACCCTCTGTCATTTAGTATCCTTAAATAAAAATGATAGATAATAAATCTACCTACATACGTAGTAAAAAAACAAGCAGTAGAAAGGAGGGAGGAAAGAAGGAAGGAAGCTACAAATGCAGGGTGATGTAGGTGTATTGCATAGGTGTGTTCTGTTGGCTCCTTACATACTTCACCAGTGTTGCCATTAGAGATGTGATTTCTTGCTAATGACGTGAACCAAAAAACAAAAGTTGTAATCTTTCATTGATTTGTATTTCTGGTAAATTCGATATATGTGTATATAAATCATTTAAAATTTGGTGTTAATTATAAAATGGAGTTGTTACAGATTCAGATAATTAATTATTAATGGGTTTTTTATTCACAAAATGTCTGTGACACATTTGAAAGACATGCAGAATACAGGACAGTTTGTGTATGTGCAGACTGTCATGTGCCTTGTATGTTTAGTATTACCTGGCTTATCCCATTAAATCCCAGTGATATTCTCAATTCTTGTGACAACAAAACACTCCAACAAGTTTGAATGCTGTCTAAAATATGTAATGCCCATTTTGAGAACAAGTGTTAGAGATAGAAATATGAAAAGACGTCATTTCTATCTTTATGTAACAATGATTTAGCAAGAAGACAAGCATGCAAATTTAAGTATTATAAAACAATATTATTGCTATGATCCTACAGTGTGAAAGAGGGAATACCTAATTCTGCCTAAGAAAGGCTTCAGTGAGGAAGTTCTATAATACAAAGAGCAGGTAACAAATGGGAAAGGAGCCACACAGTGTGAATAACTTCTACAAAGATGTAAGAGACACTAAGACTTTTATTTGGCTCTAGCTAAGAGCAGGTGGTTGAGAGTGGTAAGAAATGTGAGATAGACAAGAACTAGGCTCTGTTTATTAACTTGTGTGCCATTGTAGTGGACTTTGATTACATTCTAGACACTGGAAAGATTATGAATAGAAAAATGGCATGGATAGTTACATATTTCAGAAGGCTCATACCAAGCTCAGAGTGGAAGATAGATTGGAGGTCAGTCTGGAGGCAAGGACACTAGTTAGGAAGTATCAGAAGTGAGATAATAAATACCTGATAAAGGACAGTGGCAGTTACAATGGGAATATAAGGGAGAAGACAGATAAATGAGCTCCCTTGGTGGTGAAACTAGTATTTTGATGATTAATTGGGTATGAGGAACGAAAAGGTGTCCCAAGTTTCTTTTTTTTGCGACCAGGGTAGTTGCCATTTGCATGTGAATAGGAGAGAAAATAAGTGCGGTGGTGGTGACAGTGGCCTAGGAGGCTATAGGAGTTGGTAGGAAGGGGAGGGCATGGTTATGTAAATTTACTTTTAAGTATCTTGAAGTTGAGGTGCTTGTGGGTCATTCAGGAAGAACTGTTCAGAAGATACCTGATCATAGACGTACGGAGCTTGAGAGAAAGCTATAGATCAGACCATGGCATATTGTATTGGCTACTCGGACAGCACTGAGTTCCAGTACTGCTTCTGGTAATGAAACAATAGTTTATATTAGACTGAACCTCCCATATATTAAAATTGTATATTAAAAATATATATTAAAATATATATTTTAAAAAAGTATTTGAAGATACTGGTGAATGACCAAAAGCAGAAAGAAACTAGAGAGAAACTTTAAAAAAGGGATCAACTCTGAGTGAAATTTCTGTTTGACTGAGGGAGCTCCCTAGTCAGCAGGACTTTGACAGCTAAACTCAAGCAGAAAGCTGCAGTGTTAGTGGTTTGAAGTAGCAGTATTCATCTATCTTCGGATAACAGGAATTTGACTACTCTTAAGTAGGATAAATAGAAGCTATTTTCTGTTGTTTTATTTAAGTCATTTGGATTCTGACATTTATTTACTTTACAACAGAATTTATCTTTTACAAAGCTGTAAATCATATGATCCCATTCTTGAGTGTGTAAATGTACAGAAGGGAGGTTTATACATTAGATAGATAGAAAAATGTCTGCATCTGAAATAATACAATTTTTGGCTGGTCCTTATGGATGATTTGTTTTTACTTTCTTTGTATTTTTGTCAGTGAGAACCTTTTTTACAGTGCACCTATACATTGTTTTTGTAGTCAAATAGGGTATGTTCTATTTTGAGAAGATGTTTAGCAGAGGGACCCAGTAGTTTCCAGTTTACTTCTTCAGCTTACTGACTTGTCACAGCATTCTTAATTGATGAAATATTAAAAACTTGAAATTTTGCTTCAGGAAAATGGGACCAGTATTGCTGATCATGTTCGAAATTCCACTTGGGCAAAAAATGGCACCTACCAAGATGTTCTTCATAATGCTTCTGAAGAAGCCATAGAACAAAACATACGAGCTGGTGTCCAAGCAGTTTTGCAGGTAGATCACTTGTTGTTATGTTTTAAAAATAAAATAAAAATCATTAAATATTTCAAATACAAAATTCAGTATTTCAGTGTACTTTTTAAAATATAATGAACTCACCACCCACATTTATTAATTATCATTATGCCATATTAATTTTGTTTTTCCCTTAACTTTCATTTCACTTCATAATATATTGATAAACACTACATTTTTTTTTCTAGACAGTTTTAAACTTTATATAAATTGTGTCATGGTGTACTGTCATCTGCAACATTTTGCATTAACCATTATGTTTCTGAGATTTGTTGATACATAGCCATAGTTAATTCATTTTAAACTACTTTGTGGTATTACAATTTATGATTATTTCATATTTATTCATTTTTCTGTTGATGGTTTTTTGTTTCCAGTTTCTCAGTATTCCAGATAATGCTACATTAAACATGATATATATGTATTTTGGGCCACATGTGGGAGAATTTCCCTAGGACATATACATAGAAGTGGAATTACTGGGTTGGAGCATTTGTACATTATCAGCTTTACTTTACTGTTATTGCCAAATTGTTCTCCAGCATGGTTATAATAATTTACATTCCGTCTAGTAGTGCTTGTAAGTTCTCATTTCCTTATATCTTCCTCATTACTTGTATAGCCAGATTTTAATTTTTGCTGCTCCTGTGTGTGTGAAATGTCTCATTTTTTTTTAGTTTTAGTTTCCCTGTTTCAATTTGCTTTTCCTTCATCACTACTGCAATTGAGCATCTTTTCTCATGTATGAATGGCCTGTTAATATGCTTTTTCCATTATTCTTTTGGATTGTTTGTCTTTTTGTTATTGATTTTTAGTTCATTATATTCATTCATTTTTTTAAACCATACTAGTTTTGTCAAGGCCACATGTGACCTCCCCATTGTTAAATCAAATGGATGTTTTTCAATCCTAATTTTACTAGAGTTGTCTGGAGCATTTTACAGAGTAGCTCATTCCCTCGCTGTTGAAACCCTTCTTCATCTGGCCTTCAGAGTAGCATACCCTCCTGTGTTTAACTCAGTGGGTCAAGGCCACATGTGACCTCCCCATTGTTAAATCAAATGGATGTTTTTCAATCCTAATTTTACTAGAGTTGTCTGGAGCATTTTACAGAGTAGCTCATTCCCTCGCTGTTGAAACCCTTCTTCATCTGGCCTTCAGAGTAGCATACCCTCCTGTGTTTCTCGTAACTCAGTGGCCTCTTCTCAGATTTTTTTTTTTTTTTTTTTTTTTTTTTACTGATTTTTCAATATATTTCTCAACTTTTCATGTTGAAGTGCCCAGGAATCAGCTTTCCGACCTCTTTTCTATGTAAACTTACTCTCTTGTTGATCTCATCCATTCCTATGGCTTTAAATGTCATCTATATACTGCAACGTCTACATTTTATCTCTAGTCTGAGACTTCTTATCTGAACTCTATGAGTCCTGAACTCAAATATTCAAATGCCAAGTTGGCATCTTTACTTGAATATCTAATAGATATCTCAAACTTGACATGTCTAAAACTTGGCTTCTCACCTTGTTCAACAAACATGCTCTTCCTGCAGTTTTCCTCGCTTCATTTGATGGCAGCTGTTTTTCAGTTGCTCAGACCATCTAATTTCCTATATTTCTTTTATATCTTATATCTAATTTGACGACAAACCCTGTCAACTTCCAGAATGTATGCAGAATCTGACTGCTATTCAGCACTCACACTACCTCTTGTATTCAAGCCTCAGTAATCTTTCATCTGGATTATTGCAATAAATTTCTAATTAGTATTCTTGCTTCTGGTCTTGCCCATCCCATCCTCTTATATTCTCAACACAGTAGCCAGAGGAATCCTGTAAAATGTAAGTCAGATCATGTTATTTTTCTCCTCTGAACCCTCTGGTAGCTTTTCCTTATCACTAAGCATAAAAACAAAGTTCTTCCCAATGGTCCATCAGGCCTTTACGTCATTGCTCCTCAGAGTGTGGTCCACAGACTAGTGCTGGTCCATAAGGTGATTACAAAATTGAGAGTGAGAGTTTAGAAACTAAGTCATTTAATGTCTCTTGATTCTGATGAAAAGTCTTTTTTTCATTTCCTTTTACCTATTCATTTTTTAAATTGTATTTTATAATAGGATTGTTCTATAAGACTGCGGGGGAAAACCTGTTCCCTCACCACTGGCAGTGTGAGAATCTCTGCTTCACATGCTCTGGCTGTCTCTCAATGGCTTCACATGCTTTGGCTGTTTCTCAGCGTATCTCCCACTGCTTTTCCCCTTCCTCACTTCACTCTGTACTTCTTGCTGTTCCTCAGATATGCTAGGCCGACTCTCACCGGTCCTTTAAACTTGCTTTTCCTTTTCTTTGGAACGGTTTTCTTCCATGTTGCTACATAGTTGAGCTTTGCTTTTCCTTTTTTAAGTCACCCATATTTATATCTGTTCTCTGCTCCCTGCCACTTCCTTTGCTTGCTGGGTTTCCCGGGACAGTGAGGTGATATTGAGTACCCTTGTCTTGCTCTTGGCTTTTGGCACTACTTCCAAATGTCTCAGGTTCAGGCAGAACTTTTCAGGTTCGGTTGCTGTTATAACATTTGCTGTAGTTCTTGATAAATATTCTTTTTCAGATTAAGGAATTTTACCTTTTTTCTTAGTTTGCTAAATTAAAAAAAAATAATGAATAAGTGCTAAATGCTTTTTCTTTATGCATTGTGATGATCCTACTTTTTTCCACTTTAATCTATTGATAGGATATAGTATATTAATAGACTTTTCCAATGTCAAGGCATCCTTACATTTCTGGGGTAAATAACTACTTGGTCATAAAGTATTATATTTTGATCAATTTGAATTGCTGCTGTTTTTTGAAGATTTTTGTCTATATGTTCATAAGTGATATTGGTCTCTTCCTTACTTTTCTTATGTAGTCCTTGGCTGTTTTTGATAATTGGATTATAGTTTTATAAAAATAAATTGGGTAGTTTATTTGTCTCTGAAACAGCTTGTGTAAAATAGGGGTCATCTACTGGGAAGGCTGGGCAAAACTGCCTATAAAGCAGTGTAGGCCTGGTGTTTAGGGATGGATCAGGGATACCTTGATTACCAGTTCACTTTCTTTTATGGTATTGATATATACGTCTTTTGTATTTCTTCTTGAGTCAGTTTTGGCTATTTATGTTTTGTCTAAAAAATAATCCATTTATTAAATTTTCAATTTTATTGACATAAAGTTATTCACTGAACTATCATTTCAAAATTCTCTACTGGCTATGTAGGTATGTCCGTATGTTATTTGTGCCTCTTTTTTGCTTTTCTTAGTGTTGTTAGACTTACAGAGTCAGCTCTCTTCCCAGTTTTAAAGTTAGCTTAATGTTCTTTTCTCACATGACTGTACAACTGTATTTTGCCATGGAGTTCATCCAGGGGATTTAAATCAGAATTATGGGTGTAGTCTTAAGATGTAAATGTCCTAGGTTCACAGTAGATGTAATGTTCTGTTCCTCCAAAGTGTCTTTGAAAACCTTTGCACATACCTGTCACCATTATAACAACTTTCTCCTCAGTAACAAAATACAATTAATGATTTGATTATAATGAATTTAATTAAAGATACATATTGATGGACCCTGATTAGTAGTACTATAATATGCAGTCTGTTATTACCAAAACAGATATGCACACATAGTCAATAAACATGAAAAAAGAGAATAGATGGTGTTGAACACCTCATTCAGAAAGTCCATCTTGATTGAGGTATCATCTTTTATCCTAAACGATTTTTAATTTTTATTGTTCTTTTCATTTTATGACAACAATCAGGTTGTTATATTAAAGCGCCCTCACTTTTAAAAAACGCTGTTTTTCACTTGGCTTATTTTTTTCGGGTGCCTACTAGTAATTTTATATTTGTCTAGATAAACATAAAAATAGATTTAATGAGCTTAAATTTCCAATATCAAGCTGGTGGTAGAAGCAGGGTTAGAATTAACCTACAGTCTAATGCTTTTAAGTTTGCTATAGCTCACCTACTGATCAGCATCTTGAGTTGTTTTCCCTTAGAATAAGAAATTTCCCATTGAAATTCTGTAACGAATCACTAATGATTTCTTTTATCTTAGGTGTTTGTTATAAACTCCTCAAACATCTTTCTTCTTGAACCTGCAAATGAGATAAAAAATCTTCTGGATGAGCACACAGATATGTGTAAACGAATTCTTAACATTTATCGGTTCATGGTTGTGCAAGTATCAATGGACAAAAAGACTTGGTAAAAATACTTATCTTTTTTTTTTTTATTGTGTATATGAGCATAGTAAATTCTAGAGGAATAGTGCCTGTGAAGAGGGCTTGTAACAATATTGTACAGGCTTCTATTATTGAATGAATGAGTGAATAAATATAATATTTTATGTAATGATCATGACGACACAGTGGTCTCCTTCACTTTATCTCAAACATCTTTGATCAAACTGCCACAAGATGCCTTTGTTTATCTTTCTAAAGTGGGCATGTGTTGGCCTCCCCCACTGCCCGCCACCCCCAGGAATGAATACTGCATGCATGTATGAATAAATGAATTTATATGGGTGAATGAATGAATAAGTAAATGACTGAATGTATGAATGCCTGATTCCTCAACCTGGCATTCAAGGCTTTGTACAGTCAGGCTCCTGAGTACTTTTCTAGCCCTTTCTCAAGCCTAAGCTCCACACTGCAGAATGAGATCCTACCTCCTAGCTTTATCAAATTGCTGTCTCTCGAGCACAGTCTGAACTTTTCTTTAGAGTGTCTGATTCCTGTCATCTTTTCCTATTGTTACCATAACTGTCCTTAGATTCTACCTTTCTTTTTCCACATAGCCTTATTTTTCAGCTCACTTCCTTTCATTCTGTATTTGTACCTCTGTTGTAGATCTTGTCAAAATTGTCTTAGTTCCTAAATTACTTATAAAATGTCCATTTACCTCACTGAATTGAGATGCCCTGAAAGGTATATATACTGGTTGTCTGGTTTTTATATTTCCTACATTTCTTAATGTAGTATCATATATTATTGATACTCTATAAATTTTTGTTTAATTGAATGAAAAAAGAGGCCTTTTAGAGAGATGAGAAGAGCAGTTCTTCGGTTTCTGTAAAAATGATACATGTTCATTGTAAAATTCAAACAAAGAAAAGTTTTAAAAAGAAAATAAAAGTTGCCCAATAGCTCACTCTCTAGAGGTAATTATTGTTTGCCCTTTGGTGAACATCTGGTTCACCAAACCCCACACACAGTCACATAGTACTATGCCATATGTATGTAGCATAATTTTCTTAACTAATCACCTGTTGCTGGATATGTAGTTACTTATTTTGTTGTTGGAGGAGGGGAGGATAATGAACATCCTTGTATGTATACAATTTTCCTCTTTTGAGTCATTCTTAAAAACTGGGGGTACTTAGTCAAAGAATATGCCTACTTTGTGTTTTGTTACATATGGGAAAATGGTTTTAATTTGAAAAAACTTTTGATTAACATAATATTGATATAGGTACATCTAGAAGTAGTCATTAACTGATTTGGAGCACTTTTTCTATGTCAGCTATCTTTTTAATCTTTTTACATCTATTTTCTTTCTTAATCCTTGTAGCACCCTATGAGGTAGATAATTTTACATGGTGATTCTTAGGTACAAAGAGATTAAGTAATTTATCATTGTTCACACAGCATAAATTTGAACTGTGGTCCTACTGACCATTCTTTTGTTAGTCCTTCCCCTTTTTTTCTTTTTATATGCTTTTAATCAATGCTGTTGGTCCAGGTTAAAGTGAGAGACTTGCTATGTGGAACACAATTTTAGAATTTTTAAAAATTTTATAAGTTCCCTTGAAGTCATAGCATTATGAAAGATTTCTCACATATTTACATTGAATTTATATAAGACTTTATGAATTAAAATCATTATTGTATTACAAAGTGAAAAGTTACCTAATAATATATGAGTGAATTATGGTTTGACCACAAATCAGAAAGATTTATTTGGAAAACCTATTCTTTATTGAATATGTGGTTGACTTTAAATGGCTTTTCATTTCATATAGTGAAGCAAGAAGCCTAAGGTTACAAACATGTTACCTCTGATTTTTATGAGTTGAATGCATATGTTTGTTTGGTTAATAAATTCAGGATATTTTTCATTGAGTGATACTTTTATATTTAATTCTGCACTTACTTCCCAGAAAATCCATGATATTCGATCTGGGATTTCTTGCTGCCTCTGCCGCATTTCTCACATGGACTGTCCCACATATTGCTATGCCTAGAATGGGCCTGCAGATAAGCCAGAGAGGAGGAGACTTGATTGACTTAGGTTGTTAGTCTGACTCTACACCCAGCTGAAATCCCCTTGTCATACTTTTTTTTTTTTTTTTTGGTATGTGGTTGCATCAGTTTTTTGAATTATCAGGTGCAAATAAGGTAGTTTTATGGTCTTAATATTAAGCATCTAGGAGGAAGAGGCAAGATAAGGATAATATAATAGGGTTGGCTTGACTTGCAGTACACAAAGAGGATAAAGAATTGAAAGATGGCCAAATGAAAAAGGATGGAAAGAAGCAATAGAGTGATGGTTCTTGATTACTTGTCAGGCTCATTGTGATCTGTTAGTCTTAAAATATCATATAATTTTTGAAATTGAACCTGGTACAATTCTAGATATGCAGTTGTTCTCCATATTGTAAAGATGGATGAGATGGACAGGTGTCAAGGTAGAATTGTATCGTATAGACAGATGAGTGTTCTTCAGACAGCTCCCTAAGGTCACTATTTGATTTGTGGGGTGGAGGGATGGGAGCAGTCTCCATATTCTCACTCCCAATTCATCAGCTGTTGTATAAATTTTTATTTGGTGAGAGGTATTGTGGCTGAGAAATGGCTTAAAAATGGCTGGTATAGATTTGTAAGATGGAATTTTATATTTTAATATTTAAAGAATTCTAAAATTTTGAAAGATATTTGGTATTTGAGTTATTGAAAGGTAATAACATTTTTATAACAAATATTAATTTGAAAGTTATTCATTAACCAAAAGCAAACATATGCAAAAAGGAAACATTAATTAATTTTTTTGCTTTAAGGGAACAGATGCTGCTTGTGTTGCTCAGAGTCACGGAGTCTGTACTGAAGATGCCATCACAAGCTTTTCTACAGTTCCAGGGGAAAAAAAATATGACCTTGGCAGGTCGACTTGCAGGACCACTTTTCCAGGCAATAAAAATAAATAAATAAATAGATAAATAGGTGGATAGATATGTATTTTTTCTTAAGACTCATTGAGCCCTGAACTTACTACCTGGGAAGAAAGCTTTAAATCAGAAATCATTTCATATTAAATAATTTTTTGTAGAGCCAAATGAATAAAAGTTGCTTATCTAAATAGACTATTTGCCATACTTACAAGCTCACAACCTGATAGAGGAAATATCAATCAGATCTGTGAAAAAAGTGTTAAAACAAGCTGATTATATTTATCTCCTGTGTGGTACACTTATGTATGATTGCAAAAAGCTGCCAGAAGGCTTCATGATAATGGCTTGATTGTTTGCATTTTGAGTTTCCAGGTCTCTGGGGTTGTTAGGAAAACAAGACTTAAGTCGTTCTGTAGTAAAGAAAAAGTAGTAAATCACGATTCTTTCTTACCATGCTATTCTGGGAGACTTTATTCTCTTCACGTCTTCATTTGAAGTATCAGTGGTAGTTGATTATATAGGAATTATATGCTGTGTTTTCCACCCTAAGGATAGAGTACTGACTTTAAATGTATTATGGATTATTTGGAACATAGAAAGCAAAGTAGTATTTTTTTTAAAGATGACACATTAAATTCAAATACATGGATAAAATGGTTCTTAATGTCAAGGATAAAAGCTGTCTCAGCTCCCATTCTTGGCCATTAGTGTAGCCATTCAAATGATTATTTTTTCACCAGATATGCTGGTTCACCTAAAATTCTGTGATGGTAGTGAATAAGTCTTTGAAACTAGCTACATTTATTATCTAAACTCTTCTTGACTTCATGAGTTCCCCACCCCCACTGCCATGGTTAGAACTAACCCAATGGTGGGCGCTATTGGAAGGTAAAATTTTAGCTTGCTACATGGAATAACTTTTTTGTACTCTAAATGTTTAAAAATAGAATGGAGGGCCACTCGTTATTACTGTTTTATTTCATAAACTCTGCTCATTTTTATCTTTATATTTAACGTATAAATTTATGTGAATTCCTTAGTAAAATTGGTTGAGTTAAACTTTTGAAAAACTTTTATTTTGTGACTTATTTCTTCAATAGGAGGATTATATCTTTGGTAGAAATCTATAAAGTCTCAGGGGTACAGCCTGGTCAGTAATTTCTGCGCTTTTATGAATAAGTTTTTTATTCTGTGATTGGATTTGTTACAGAATACCTTTAATTCCTCTGGTGTCTTTAAAATGAAATTTAATTTTATCCTTCACATTTCAGTAAGTTAAATACATCTCTAGTAACTTTTTTTTTTTAGAATATTCAATTTGTATAGTTAGTGATTCCCATCTTTAATTTGAGAATGTAGGTTTTGTTATTTTAGTTCAATAACTACTAACTACTCAATAATTTCAACACATAATAGTGTGGAAACTTTTATCTCTTTTTAAACAACATTTATTTAACATTAATATAATGCAGCATGAAGGGTAGTTAAACTTTAGGGAGATTTGTTTTCAGTTTTGGTAACTTGCCCTAATGCCAGAATGTTGGGAATTGGCAGTTGTTGAAATTTATAGTAGGTACTAATGAGTGCTTGAATTACTTTTATAAGTATTATGTACCAAGAAAGGATATCATGGATATTATATGATTTAAAGTTCTGCTTGTTTTGGTGTAATTTTTTAATAATTGATTTTGAATATATTTCATTGTTATTTCTGATTATTTGTCTTTGTAGACTCTTATAGTTGCCTGGATTAAAGCAAATCTAAATGTGTACATCTCCCGAGAACTTTGGGATGACTTACTCTCAGTATTGTCATCGTTGACCTGTTGGGAAGAGTTAGCCACTGAATGGTCACTGACTATGGAGACACTAACTAAAGTTTTAGCTAGAAATTTATATAGTTTGGATCTCAGTGATTTACCATTGGATAAGCTGAGTGAACAGAAACAAAAAAAGCACAAAGGGAAAGGTAAGAGTTATTCACAAAGGTGCTCCATATAAATTTGTTTAAATAATTTGGTCTGGGAAAATCAAGCCAGGGAGAGGTGTGAAGGTAAAAGTTATATTTTCTCTTAATTATTCCCTCCTTAATTTACCCTGAGGCTTAAAAATTTTCAACAGTAAAACATGTAGTTACCTTGTAATTGTTCTTGAAGAGCCTTAAATTCAACAGTAATTTAGATGAGAAATAAAGTATTCTGTATGTTGTTCTGTACATATCTAGCTAAAGTTACATAAATAATTCAGAATCTTAAATATTTTATTTTTAATAATTAACCAAAATGGAAATTTATAAAACACTCTTCCTTTTTTTTTTTTTTTTTGCGGTACGCGGGCCTCTCACTGTTGTGGCCCCTCCCGTTGTGGAGCACAGGCTCTGGGCACACAGGCTCAGCGGCCATGGCTCACGGGCCCAGCCGCTCTGCGGCATGTGGGATCTTCCCGGACTGGGGCACGAACCCGTGTCCCCTGCATCGGCAGGCGAACTCTCAACCACTGCGCCACCAGGGAAGCCCCCTTTTTGTCATACACAATTTTTTATTGAAACATAGAAGGTGATTTCATGTTACTCTATTTAAAAAGAATTGTGTGAGAAATTCTTTTAAAAGCATTTTCTTAGTTTTAACAAAAGCAAACATTCCCTGGATATGGATTATATACCTGCCTAATGTTTAAAAGCTGGAGAGGGACAGTAACATAGTGATTATATCATAAAAACATGTCCTTATAATTCTGGGTTTGCTAGTATTTTTCACTCTTAATAATTAGTTTCTGTCTAGAGATTACATCTGAGTTACATTTCATACTTAACAATAGTCCAGAGTACTAAGTGTGTGACCAAACTACTTTTTCCTGGACTGTTTATTTTCCAAGTGGCTATTATTGACAGGTAGAGATAGAGTAACTTCCACCACAGGATGGATTTTGGTTAGCTCATTTTCTATCCTTTTTTGCCTGTCCAAATATTTCACTTCTCTATGAAGCAGGTGGGTGGTAGAGGATTTATAATCGTTTATTGTTGATGTTGTATTTTTTAAAATCTGCCTCAGTTTTGGAACATGAAAATGAAGTTCAGAAAAACCTTATAGTACGCAAGTGTTTTATCTAGTTACTTTATGAGTAAACCTAAGAGTCTGAGGCAAAGTGGCACACATAATTCAAAGAGATTATTGATATGGTGACGGTACACTGAGATTGAAAATCTGCATTTCTAGGAGTGGGACATGAATTTCAGAAAGTTTCAGTTGACAAGTCATTTTCTAGAGGATGGAGTCGCGATCAGCCTGGCCAAGCCCCAATGAGACAGAGAAGTGCAACAACCACTGGTTCCCCAGGAACGGAAAAGGCGAGGAGTATAGTACGGCAAAAAACTGTTGGTATGTACTCTTTAAAATCATGAGAACTGTATGGGGCAATACGTTTATAGTCCTTAGTAACAATGTATATAAATACACTGTTTTCTTATCCATTGGTTTTTGTTGTTAAATGAAAAACTTCCATAGGAAAACCTTTATTTCAGTAATACTTGGAGTCTGATGACATGCTGTGTTATCACTTTATGCTACTAAGATGTGTCTTATGTTATTGTTTTTATGTAGTTGATTTTACTGTTGATATCAATAATTTTAAACCATTACTTTACAGAATTGAAGAAGTAGAACTCTGATTCACTTTACAGAACTCATGTATTAATTGATATAGTTTCTACTAAGTGAGTATACTCATAAACATGGAAAATTAGGTAGCTTATTTTCAGTGCTACAATTATACAGTTATATTGGCTTCACAAACTTCCAGTGAGGAATTCACGCTCTCTACTTGTAGACAGCTGAGGCCAAGGGGGAGTATACTGCTAGGTTCCTTGCTGCCTTTAACAAGCATGGAAGAAATTTCTATGATGGGAAGAATTTCTGGATGTAGGATCACTCAGCATACTGTGGACCTAGTTACTCTCTTATTCCTTTTCCTCTCAGAGATTTATAACTTGGTCTTCATTGTAGTAGAAAGAGTGCTGCAAGGAAAAGTGAGGACTTTGTCCTGATCTTTTTTTTCACTCTTTCATCACTAAATAGCTAGATAACCTTGAATAATTTACTGAACTTTCTAGGCGTTATTTACTTCATCTGTATAGTGGGTATGATAATATCTCACATGCCTGAAACAAAATTGCTTGAAGTTACTTCAGGCTTTGCAATCTGTGATTCTGTGGAAGGAGAATTTTCTGTGGGAATATATCTATAGTTGATGGTAATCAGTGAAAAACACTACTATTTTAAAGAAATTTAAAAACGTTGTAGGACGTGTCTTCTATGAAATGATGGGTTCTAAAGTGTTAAGAATTACAGTTCTAAAGGAAGAAACAAAAGTAGAAAGAGAATAGGGAAATTAAAGATTTTAGAAGAATTAAAAATGTTTAAAACTGTTCAAAAGAATATTTTCACAATTGTCTTCTGCCTATAAAATAACCATAGAATTATATTGATTGTATATGTCAAGCCAGAAGAATGAGAGATTATACAAGGAAAAAGGATATTGATGGATAAAAATTAATATAATTTAATTTTGGTATAGAATTACATTTTGAAATTCTTGGGAAGGTGTTGATTACATCTGAAATGCCTTTCTTCATTTTATGTTAATGTCACATTTATAGAAAATATTTCTATATGGGTTAAGAAGGAATTGTTCTTTTAATTTTAAAATTTTACTTAAAACTAGAATCTTTTTTAAAAGTTCCATATATATATTTTTCTGATTATAGAAGTAATTTATGCTTAGTGTGGAAAGTAAAGTTTAAGGAAGCATAAAAACATATTAGGTGTCTAATGAGAAGAAATCATTGCTAACATGTTGGCATATTTCTAATCTGTATAAAAGCATGTGTGAGTAAAATACTCATCTTAAAAGTGTACCTGACTGATTACTTTCTGATACCTATGTTAAAACAGTCTTGCCTGGCTTGCTCATTGGACTAACCTATCAAATAAAAAGTTAAAGCATTACCACAGCAAAGGAAACCATAAACAAGACCAAAAGACAACCCTCAGAATGGGAGAAAATATTTGCAAATGAAGCAACTGACAAAGGATTAATCTCCAAAATTTACAAGCAGCTCATGCAGCTCAATATGAAAAAAAAACCCAATCCAAAAATGGGCAGAAGACCTAAATAGACATTTCTCCAAAGAAGATATATAGATTGCCAACAAACACATGAAAGAATGCTCAACATCATTAATCATTAGAGAAATGCAAATCAAAACTACAATGAGATATCATCTCACACCAGTCAGCATGACCATCATCAAAAAATCTACAAACAATAAATTCTGGAGAGGGTGTGGAGAAAAGGGAACCCTCCTGCACTGTTGGTGGGAATGTAAATTGATACAGCCACTATGGAGAACAGTATGGAGGTTCCTTAAAAAGCTAAAAATAGAACTGCCATACGACCCAGCAATCCCACTACTGGGCATATACCCTGAGAAAACCATAATTCAAAAAGAGTTCATTGCAGGTCTATTTACAATAGCCAGGACATGGAAGCAGCCTAAGTGTCCATCAACAGATGAATGGATAAAGAAGGTGTGGCACATATATACAATGGAATATTAGTCATAAGAAGAAACGAAATTGAGTTATTTGTAGTGAGGTGGATGGACCCAAAGTCTGTCATACAGAGTGAAGTCAAAAAGAGAAAAACAAATACCGTATGCTAACACATATATATGGAATCTAAAAAAAAAAAAAAAAGGTCTTGAAGAAACTAGGGGTAGGACAGGAATAAAGATGCAGACCTACTAGAGAATGGACTTGAGGACACAGGGAGGGGGAAGGGTAAGCTGGGACAAAGAGAGAGAGTGGCATGGGCATATATACACTACCAAATGTAAAACTGATAGCTAGTGGGAAGCAGCTGCATAGCACAGGGAGATCAGCTCGGTGCTTTGTGACCACCTAGAGGGGTGGGATAGGGAGGGTGGGAGGGAGGGAGACGCAAGAGGGAAGAGATGTGGGAACATATGTATATGTATAACTGATTCACTTTGTTATAAAGCAGAAACTAACACACCATTGTAAAGCAATTATACTCCAATAAAGATGTTAAAAAAAAAAGTTAAAGCATTACAAATTTTGTTTAGAAAGGTAGCTGCATAAAGTTGGAAAATACTAATACTAGAAAATGTTGAACTCCTTGCATCAGATTTCATTACATGTCAGTACCATAATTTAACCTGTATCCTGAAGATGGACTTTTAGTTTATTTCCAATTTTGTGCTGTTAAAAATGGTACAGAATATAGTTATGTATATTTCTATACTTTGTGCTTACATGCAGATATGTCTGTAGGTTTAATCTATAGGATTTGGAATTAAATTGCCCTTAAAACAATGAGATACCACTACATATCTATTAGAATGGCTGAAATCCAGAACATTGACGACATGAAATGCCGACAAGAATATGGAGCAACAGTAACTCTCATTGCTCGTGGGAACGGTACAGCCACTTTGGAAGACAGTTTCGTAGTTTCCTAGAAAACTAAACATACTCTTACCATAGAATCAAACCATCCTTGGTATTTACCCAAGTAAGTTGAAAACGTATGTCCACACAAACATTGGCCCTCAAATATTTGAAGCAACTTCTTTCATAAACTCGGAATTTATGCCAGACCTTGGAATCAACCAAGATATTCTTAAATAGGTGAATGAATTAACAAACAGTGGTACATCCACACAGTGGAATATTAGTTTTTGAAAATAAGAAGTGAGCTATCAGGCCATGGAAAAAATATGGAGGAGCTCCAAATGCATGTTGCAGGGCAACAAGGAGGGACAAATAGGTGGAGCACAGGGGGTTTTTAGAGCAGTGAAAGTATTCTGTATGATACCGTAATGGTGCATACATGTTATACATTTGTCAAAAGCCCATAGAATGTACAACACAAAGAGTGATCCCTAATGTAAACTGTGGATTTTGTTAATGACACTGTATCAGTATTAGCTCATCAGTTGTAGGAAATGTATACTATACCAATGAAAGATGTCAGTACTTGGGGAAACTCGAGGTGGGGGTGGGAGAAGAAGGGGTTATATTGGAACTCGTTGTACTTGCCACTCAATTTTCCTGTAAACCTGAAACTGCTTTTTAAAAATTAAAGTGTACAGGCAGACCTCAGGAGGTAAGTGTGGGTTTGGTTCCAGACCACCACAATAAAGCAAATATCCCAATAAAGCGGGTCACACGAATTTTTTGGTTTCCCAGTGCATATAAAGGTTATGTTTACACTATACTGCAGTCTGTTAAGTGTTCCGTAGCATTATGTCTAAAGAAACAATGTTACATACCTTAATTTAAAATATTGCCCCAAAATGCTAACCATGGATCTGAATCTTCAGCACTTCATAGTCATTTTGCTGGTGGCTGATGACTGATCAGGGTGGTGGTTGATGAAGGTTGGGGTGGCTGTGACAGTTTCTTAAAGTGAGACCATTAAGGGCGTTCACGGCATTGGTTGACTCTTCCTTTCACAAACGATTTCTCTGTAGTATGCAATGATGTTTTATCGCATTTTACTCACTAGAATTTCAGAATTGGAGTCAGTCCCCTCAAACCCTACCACAGCTTTATCAACTAAACTTAAATAATACTCTCAATCCTTTGTTCTCATTTCAACAGTCTTCACAGCATCTTCACCAGGAGTAGATTCCACCTCAAGAAACCACTTTCTTTGCTCACTCATAAGAAGAAACTCCTCTTCACAGTTTTATCTTGAGACTGAGTTTTATCTCAGTCCCATCCTCAGGCTAGTTCTGTTGTGCTTTCTACCACATTTGCAGTTAACTTCCTGCACTAAAGTCATCCATGAGGATTGGAATTAACTTCTTCCAAACTCCTGTTGATGTTGATGTTTTGACCTTTTCCCATGAGTCACATTGTTCTTAATGGCATCTAGAATGGTTTTCTTGTTTCCAGAAGGTTTTCAGTGTATCAGTACTTTGCCCAGATTCATCAGAGGAATCACCATCTATAGCAGCTATAGCCTTACGAAATGTATCTTAAAGAATAAGACTTGAAAGTTGAAATAATTCTTTGATCCATGGGCTGCAGAACGGATGTTGTGTTAGCAGACATGAAAGCAATGTGAATCTCATTGCACATCTCCATCAGAGCTCTTGGGTGACCAGGTGCATTGTCAATGAGCAGTAATATTTTGAAAGGAATCTTTTCTGAGCAGTAGGTCTTGACAGTGGGGCTTAAAATATTCAGTAAACCATGTTGCAAACAGATGTGCTGTCATCCAGCCTTTGTTGTTCCACTGATAATTCTTAAGGGCCCCGGGATTTTCAGAATGGTAAATGAACATTGGCTTCAACTTGAAGTCCCCAGGTGCGTTATCCCCTAACAAGAGGGCCAGCCGGTGCTTTGAAGCTTTTAAGCCAGGCATTGACTCCTCCTCTCTAGTTATGAAAGTCCTCGATGGCATCTTCTTCCAATAGATGGCTGTTGTGTCCACATTGAAAATCTGTTGTGTAATGTAGCCACCTTCATTAATGATCTTAGTTAGATCTTTTGGATAGCTTGCTGCAGCTTCTACATCACCACTTGCTGCTTCCACTTGCACTTTTATGTTATGAAGATGGTTTCTTTCCTTAAATCTCATGAACCAACTCTGCTAGCTTCATGCTTTTCTTCTGCAGCGTCCTCACCTCTCTCAGCCTTCCTAGAATTGAAGAGAGTTAGGGCCTGGCTCTGGATTAGGATTTGGCTTAAGAGAATCTTGTAGCTGGCTTGATCTTCTTTCCAGACAACGAAAACTTTCTCCATATCAGCAATATGGCTGTTTTGCTTTCTTATCATTCGCCTTTTCACTTTTAATTTCCTTCAATAACTTTTCCTTTTTTGCAGTCACAACTTGGCTGTTTGGAGCAAGCAGTCTAGCTTTCCGCCTGTCTTGGCTTTTGACATGCTTTCCTCGCTAAACTTAATCATTTCTAGCTTTTGATTTAAAGTGAGAGTCGTGTGATTCTTCCTTTCACTTGAACACTCAGAGACTGTTGTAGGGTAATTAACTGAAGTTAGACCAGTTTCAGTGGCTTTACAGAGATTCTCTGATCTAAGTTTTAGATTAGTAAATCCCCCAAATCCCAGGAGCTATTTCATGTAAGTCATTTTCTGTAGCATAGGTTACGCAGCTGTGAGGCACTTTACAGATTTCCAGGTATGCATAAAGACCTGTAGTACAGTAGCAGATGGAGAGGTGCACTTCTGAAGAATTCATTCAGGATCAGAACACAAACTTACACCATTGTGATAATGGGAGAAGTTCCAAGGGAAATGCCGAAGTTCTTCCTTCAGGTTGGTGGTGGGAAAGAAGGAATAGAAGGAATTGTTATCTCCAAGGAATTATCTAACCCAAGGGAAAAAAATCAAGAAACTTGTAATTCATCTGTGGAATTGAAATTTTGATTCAATTTAGTTTTAAAAGAAATATCTCTAAAAATCACATCTGATTATAACTGTAGGTGGCATTTTACCTTTTGTGTTGATAAGCAGCACTTCAGGTTTTACCTGTGTGTTTATGTCTTTGCTCTAAGTTTTAAGAAATAATTACCTTGAAGTCAACGTAACTTTTATTTCAAATCGGATTATTAAATTGCCGATCACTTTCACGACAGGGAGAGAAGCTAGCAGGAAATCACGAGTAGGGTCAGATTCTGACATTTTGTATATGGTTTCGGTTTTAAAATATACTTATCTTTGGGCTTCCCTGGTGGCGCAGTGGTTGAGAGTCCGCCTGCCGATGCAGGGGACACGGATTCGTGCCCCGGTCCGGGAAGATCCCACATGCCGTGGAGCGGCTGGGCCCGTGAGCCATGGCCGCTGAGCCTGCGCGTCCGGAGCCTGTGCTCCGCAATGGGAGAGGCCACAGCAGTGAGAGGCCCGCGTACTGCAAAAAAAAAAAAAAAAAAAAAATATACTTATCTTTAATACATTATACAGAAAGCCATACACTGAAGGCATGTTGTTGCCTTTTCTTAATATATTCCAACCTTCCATGTTTTGCTGCACATAAATTTACCTGAAAGCTGCTCTTAAAGAATCCTTTATTTTGCCAACATTAATAAATTTGGGGGTTAGGGACTCTCTAATTATCCTTTTCCAGTTATAACTCTATGACATACATCTAGTTTTTGGTTAATACTTTTTTTGGTTTTCTCCTCTATATGTTCACAATGAAAACTTTTTTTGTTTTCAAATGATTATGCTGTGCTGCCCAAATACAGATACTCATTCAGTGAAGATTTATTGAGCTCATATGTGCCAGGCACCAGAGTTATAAAGATAAGAAGATATAGTTTTTGCCTTTGAAAAGTTAGGAGGCTGGCATATAAAACATACAGTCCACTAAAAATAGATTGTAAGCTTTGTAAAAGAAGGAATTCTTGTTTGTTTTGGTAATTGCTGTATTGCTAGTAAGTTAATTATGTGGGAGAGTCTCAAAAGCATCACAGATGATATGACATTTTATGTATGAAGGAGTGTGGAGAAGGAAAGAAGACTAAATATATTATGAACTCACAGGGCCATGTTGTTGTAAAAGAGCATGAAATCTGTAAGAAACAGTATAAAATTCTGTGTGGCAGCAACATGGGAGAACAGAAGGGGGAGAAGTTTCCGTGGATATTGCAGCTGGATTGCAAAGGCCTTGTGTGACAGACTAAGGGATTTAGGCATCGGGGAACCAGCTGTTTCTAATAATCAGAAAAATCTAAGATTTTGAATTGATGGTAACATTCAAATATATGTATTGTTTTAATCAATGTCACTGTTATACTGGATATTATGCAGTATTGTTTCTTCTAAATTCTCCATTCATACATACCTTCATTTATTCAAGAATCTCTAAACTAAAAGTTAAGTTAAAAAATATTTGGGAAGTATAAACTTGATTATTTATTTCTAAGTGTGTCAGAATTTGTCTTTAATTTTGTGAACTGGTTACTTTTAAGAAATTACCAAATACAAGTACAAATGCAATTTTTTTTTAATTCCAGTTTTTAAGTTTTTATCTTCAAAAATTTAATCTTTTAAATTTTTACATAATATGCCTAAGACTTGAATAAGCATAAACATTTTTCTCAATAACTCGATTCTTCATGCTTATTGCAAATTCTATTTTCTGTGTTTTTACTTAAAATTTTAAAATTATACTGTTAAATTTAATATAAATAGGAGATACTGATTTGATCAAGCATTCTTTTACCAGGAACAAATACTAACCTTGAGATATAATTCTTTAGATTATGAATTACATAAAATTCTCTAAAAAAGACCTATGAGTGACTTTGAAACTTTATTAGGAAAAAGTATGAAAGAAATAATTTGTTCTTGAAATTCAGCTTCATTAAGAAGAATGGCTCAGAGTTGCCTCAGAGTGGCTCAGAGAAATGCCAAATATGGTACCTAAAATTTCTTGGAACTGTTAATATTGGTTCCTTTCAGTGTTTCCATTCGATGAACTTTTCGACCTTTGGTTTTGAGAACATAGTGCTAATTAAAGTGTCTGCTGTTTTTAATGCTATACCATTGTAACTGCTAATAATAAAAAAAATTTTCCTGCTTTACACCAAAAAATTTACATTCGAAATGTCATATGTGTCCTCTAATTTCTTTTCTTACAGCTTGCCAGTATTTGCCGTGCTGAAATGTTTTAATTTAAGATTTCCTTCCTTTGTATCTTTTAGTTTTCTCTGTTGCTGCTTTTTCTGTGACACAAGCCTTTCATTATAGTCACTTCTTTTTTCCTTCCCCACTTCTTTCTTTTCCTTTTTTAAAGCCATGAGAAGCCGATCCATTGGTGAATGTGCTCTGCCATCGGCCTATATACGCAGTGCTAAAAGTGCTCCTGTTCTGATCCATACTTCCAAACCCTTCTTGCCTGATATTGTTCTCACTCCCCTTTCTGATGAGCTTTCAGGTAGTGCCACCTCTGCTAATTTCTGCACCACCTTTTTCACTTTTTAATCCTTCTGCTTTCAAATTTTGCTTAATCAAATAAACTCTTCAAAGTTAATTTCTTTGGGGGAGGTGTGGGAAATTGGGAAAGTGGTTGAGCAATCAACATTTTGAGTTATTTGAACTCTAATGCTATCCTTGCAGTTCATTCTGGAAGTGCTAAGTTTAGTGCTGTGCCAATGACCAATATTTTGGGTTGTAAATGGTCAGGATTTTTTCTGTTCATGTTTGATTTTTTCTTCTCAGGTGGTTAAGTGAAGTGGTAATGTATATTTATAATGTCATTATTTGACTAACTATATGGTAAATCTTTAATAATGCATTCTTCATCATCTATAGTAATGGAACTTAAGCCAGGGGAATCAGTAATTGAGAAAAGTACATAATCTAAAAGTTGTTTTGGAATAAATCTTTGTATTTATATTAGATTATAATAGCATATAGAATTCTAAGAACTCAACTCACTTTTAAACCAAATAAAGCAACCATTCTGTGAATCCCCGATTTCTAAGAAGCCTCAAAACCTAGTTAGCTTTGCACTTCTGCTCAGGTCCTTGATCTCCAGTATTGGGTTGGTCTGCTCTTTAATAAGGCTTAATTAACATGTAATAAAATGCATAGTTCCTGTGTTCAGTTCAGTGAGTTTTGAGAATTGTACACCCCCCCATCATCTTTCACCCCAGAAAAAATATAATGTTTCCATTACCCCCAAAATTCCCTAGTGACACTTTCGAGTCAGTCTCTCTCTCTCTCTCTCTCTCTCTTTCTCTCACACACACACACACACACACACACACACACACACACACACACACACACACACACACAGAGTTTGTAATTTGTATCACCATAGATCAGTTTTTTTCTTTTAAAAATTTTTTTTTGTATGACTAAGATCATACAGTGCCTTGTCTTTTAGACTGAAGCAAATTTGTGTTGAATATACAGTTGACCCTTGAACAACGCAGGGGTTAGGGGTGCCGACCTTTTACATTGTCCAAAATCCATGTATAACTTTACAGTGGGCCCTCCATTTCTGTGGTTTCACATGGGCAGATTCAACCAACTGCACGTAGTGTTGTGCTGTACTACATATTTACTTGTAAAAATCCACAAATAAGAGGACCTGCACAGCTCAAAGCTGTGTTGTTCAAGGGTCAACTGTGCTTACTATGCAAAATGTGCTAGCTCAAAGAAAGTCATGGTGCATTCTTGGGTGCTTTCCTATACTCTTCTTAGGAGTATTTCCCTGACGTTGCCACTTTTGGTGAGGTTGCTGGGTTTTTTTTTTTAACAACCTATCTGTACCCTCTTACTTTCTAATTGACTATAGGCTTATGTGAGGGAAGGTGCATTTTTATTAATAATGTTATTTCAGGTGAAATCCCTTTCACCATCCCTAAGATCAGAGATTTCTCCCAAACCAAGAGGAGGTATATAATTCAAAATTAAAAAGGAAAGTGAACTACATAAAAGAAGAAATTGTTCTTCATAGTTTTCTCTCTCCCCCTGCTGTGAGCAGGCTTAATTGAACTCATAATAATATATTTCCTGGATGCGTCATCTAAGATCAGGAGTTGAGGTTTCTATAACTTTCACCAATAAGACAATGAAACTACCCATAGACAATCACTCTACCTTTTGGTTAGAAGTAGGGTTTCCAGAAAAATATTTACTTGATACTCTTGAATACTTACAGGGTAAAAAGGCACTTCTTTTAATTCCTTCTATGTTTTTTTATTTTAACATACTACGATTTCTAAGAAGTGACTGTCAGTTTTCAATGTACTCTTTTTTTTTTTTTTTCTGGTACGCCGGCCTCTTACTTGTTTTGGCCTCTCCCGTTGCGGAGCACAGGCTCCGGACGCACAGGCTCAGCGGCCATGGCTCACGGGCCTAACGGGCCTAGCCGCTCTGCGGCATGCGGGATCCTTCTGGACTGGGGCACGAACCCGTGTCCCCTGCATCGGCAGGCGGACTCCCAACCACTGCGCCACCAGGGAAGCCCAATGTACTTACTCTATTTTTATCCAGCCCTTTTTTTCTCCTCTAGTATTCTTGGTTAGATGAGCATTCAACCTACATTGTTGTGAATGTGATGCTATATGGTATAGCTATATATAGATAGGCTAAACTAGCTGAATAGCTGAATATCGTTGGAGAGTTTTTCTTAAGTTCTGGGGACTATTTCAAGGGCACTGACTCTGTCAGTGACTTTAGTTCTTAACATTAGACTCATGTGATGTTGAACAAATGTTTCTTCCCAGGCTCCTGTCTCAGGTTTTGATATAATGTCCTGTGGGTTGCAGGAGTATCTTAGTTTATTTTTTAAAGTCTTAGTTTATTTTTTAAAGCTCTGCAGGTAGTGCTGGTGTCTGGGCAGGCACATTTTTCCTGTCCTCTCTTCTACACTAGACTAGTTTTACACATATGGTAGCCCAGCCTTGCAGTCTTTATTTTCCTGATAAAGAGAAGTCAGAAATCTCAATAATTATTCTTAAGCAAATTAGCTTTTACTGTCAGAAATAATACTTTCATGATAGAAGGGATGTAAAAGAACATAGGCATGGTGGGCAACTGACTTTTGCAACTGTTTCTTATTTTCTAATCAAGTACTGTGGGTGTCTCCCCCTGAAATAAAGTTTACAAACCCACTTTCTTCCAGTTAGCTCTCAAAACTGCGAATTTGTTTGCCATATTTGATGCTGTTAGATTCTAGTCTGTCTAGGCCATATTATGTAGACTGCTAAGGTTATTAACAGTACTTCAGTATTTGAACTGAGCACTGTAGAGCAAAATGTTTTGATCTCTCTGCTTCTATTTTCTGAGTATCAGGAGAAAGAAGATGTTATGTCTCATGCCCCATCCCATTCCTAAATTCTGCCTAATCAGGAGGAGAATTTTCTATCTCTAATCAAACAAGCAGGTTCCTCTTTGCACAATCAAGGAATTTATTTCTTCTCGTCATCAATATGTGATAGTAACCTTTTACAGAGTTTCCACCTAGAAAACCAGCAGATTCTAGCATAATTCTAAATTAGATTTTTTGTTGTTGTGGAAATAATTTGTGTTAATTTTTTTTAAAGTACGTCTCAAGAAAAGTTTGAATCTAACTTAAACACGGCATTATATAACATGTTTGCAAACAAATAAAACTATAATTTTCTTATAAAAAATATTGGTCATTTGGTCTATTTCCAGAATTTAAGAGTCAGGGAAACAATATTAGAAGGATAAGAGTAGAAGATAGTTTAGTGTTTTAAATTTTAGTGGTCTAAAATCAAAGTTAATTATTTGGGCTTGGTTTATTGCTTTTCAGTCTTTCATATGATTTCAGTGATGTGCATACTGCTTTGAATTACCTACAAATTGAACATCTAGTCATAAAAAGATGTAGAAGTTTTACTAGCCTCTGCTAATAATAGAATCGAAAACATAGATATTCTGTAGTTCTTAACTTACCTTGAAGGTACATTGCTATTATAGCCCAAATAGGCAAAAAAAGTTTTTAATTACATAAAGGACATTGTCATTTCCTTTAGGTAATTCAGAAAAAACTTGAGCTTCTAAATGGCATCAGTTTCTACATAAAGTAATATAAATGATTTTATGAATTCAGGAGCTGTAAAAATATTATTACTGATAGCTAGTGTTTATGATTAACCGAGAATAGAATTTAACTTTGGTAAAAGGGATTTTGGCACTTTTTTCTATACCTCGTTTTAGAAATTATTTAAATTTTCTAGTGGTATGTTAGTATTACATATTAAGAGATTTTTTTCCCCCCTGAGGAACTAGCTTGATATTTTAGTAATTAGCAGCTACTAATTTTTAATATAAAAGACATGCTTTCCTTCTACCAGTATTTATTGAGCCCCTACTATGTGACAAGAGCTATTTCAAGCAATGGGGATATTGTGATGTTAATACAAACAAAATCCTGAAGAAAGGTAAATTTCAGTGAAAAGAATTTTTTTTTTACATGTTACAAGCTAATATTACACTTTAATTTACAACTTATCTTTTTGAAATAGCAAAGAAAACTTTTCTTTGAAAAACAACATTCAGAAAAAACTACTTTTTAATCCAGAAATAATTTCCAGCACTTTAATGTTAAAACGTCATTGAGCAAATCCAGAGATAAAACTTGACATTGCTAATACTTCGTAGGCTCTATAGGAAGCATTTTCTCAATGTTCAAGTTTTTTTTTTTAAAGTTTGTTAAAAAGCTTTTTTCTTGTTTTGCTCAATCACTGGTTACTGATACTTTAGATTAAAATAATTTAGACACTGCCGTTGTTCAAGGTAAAATGTAAGCAGCATAATTAAATAGTTTTGAAGGCCATTTCTGTTATAACCTGTTGTTATCATTATTTTCAGCAATCCAATACAAAGTTTGTCCGTTGTGTTCTTCTGTATCATTTACTAATATTTGTATTTGACTAAGTTTTGATGTCTAAGATTCTTATCTTTATAGAGATAAATCACCATGCTTGTTTATAATTTCTTAATAATACTCTTTTTAAAAATTAATTATTTTATGAATATGTAATATATATTATTCAAGAAATTAAGACCATGGACTAATTTTTTCCTTACTTCAAATCCCACCTCTCCATCTTCTAGCTGTGTATCCTTAGGCAAGTGAATTAAATAGTTTCTTCATGTATAAAATGGGGATAATAACACCTACTTCATGAGGCTGTTGTGAGGATTAAATGAGTTAATACGTGTAAGATGCTTAGAACAATGCATGTAGGAAAGACTACAGTCAGCCCTTCATATCCAAGGTTGGTTGAATCCATGTAAACCTGCGGGTGTGGAGAGCCAACTGTGTTCACTGTACTAGGCCATTTTATATAAGAAACTTGAGCATCTGTGGATGTTAGTGTCCATGGGGGGCTCCTAGAACCAGTCCCCAGCAGATACAGAAGGACAACTGTATATGATTTAGCTGTCATTTAGACTTTTTATCTTCAACAAGGTTCAGGTATATTTCTTTAAATTTGAGTTTCGTTAGAGTCAGTCATGCTTAATTCAAGTACTGACTTTGATTTCTTTTATGCAATTAATATTGTTATATGCCCGTGTAAGAATTGTATTTAAAGCTTAAAACTTCCAAAAAGTTTGTTTAGTTTTAAATTCTCTAACAGTACATTATTGATAGAAAAATATTATTATTTTTTTTTCAAAGCTCTTGCCCTCTTAGATTTGAAAGGTTTTTAGACATTAAAGTTTAGGGAAAAACACTTAGGCTGAAATAATGGTTAAATTTCCTAATGTACAATGTGAGGACTGGGTTTGGGAAGAAATTTCTAAAAACAGAACTTCACAATAATCTTTACTGGTTTCTTTAGAATGGAAAAATTATGGAATATCAATAAAGGGGAACTTCCCTGGTGGTCCACTGGTTAAGACTCCACACTTCCACTACAGGGGGCACAGGTTCAATCCCTGGTTGGGGTAAGATCCCACATGCCATGCAGCACGGGCAAAATAAATAAATAAAACATAAAGGAAACTAAACATTAAAACTAATATTCTCCTTTTTTTGAAGTTTGTATATTTGTTAGTCTCATAATATTAGATTTTAATAAGGTTTTAATATCTTGATTTTGAATTTGCAGCTAATAAAATAATTCCAACTATAAAATTCTTAATAATTTTTATAGAAAAGTTATATAGTCTTTATCCTTTGCTGAGTCTATTAGAATATTTTGTGGAAAGAAACTGGAGTGCATGGTGACTATGATCTCTAGGCAGAGGTTCTTATGACCTATTATGGGAGATAAACCAAAATACTTAGCATTCGTCAAGGTACACAAATATGCATTACTTATCTACTACAGTAATAAATGGAGTATAATGCATAAATATAAAGTTTCTGAGGAGATGCTTGCTTTTTCATGTAGAAGAATTCTAAGTGGAGTGCATGAAGAAGAAAGCCAACATTTTTTTAAAGTGTTGTATTCTCCTCAACTTAATGATAACAAGAAATTGTTTCAACTTTAGGAGATATTTTGTATTTGACCCGTATTGGGAGTCTAAATGTATATCTTCAGGAATATAGTGCAGTCTTAGTATATTACAAACTTCTCTTGATCTGAATTTAGTATAAGGTGGCTCCTTTTGGACCTCATACAGAGAAAGGGATATGAGTGAAATAGCAGAAGGACTAGCCTCTTTTCATGCATTGCATGGATCCTGAGAATATTTTTAATTACTATCCTCATTTTATAAATGAGAAAACTGGTGTCGGAGTCTGGAGTAAGAAAACCAGAGTTTTAGACCTAACACCATCAATAAATATATCTGTGATCTTAGACAAGTAACTGTTTTACTCTGGATCTAAATCTTCTCATTTTGATCAGTTATAGTTCTATTATTTATAATTTTTGCATTACAAGCCTAATGAGTACCCAACATCTGACTTTTTGACTCTGTGTCCTTTTTTCATTATATTTTTCTGGCTTCTGAAAAATTTTTTTTAGTTATTTCTAGATAATGTTAAAGGTCATGATAGATTCATAGACATGGTATTTTACTTCTAAAATTTCTAATTTGTATATATCTCTACAGCTAAATAGTATTTCATATTGTGATTTTCAATTTCGTAAATATTTTTGAGGATTTACCATATACTTAGCACTTCAGGCAGTAAAAACAATGTAATGACGTTGAACACTAAACCTGCTTCTCAACTTTGAGAGAGTGGCTTCATCTGTTTGGGCCTTAGTTTCCTCGGTGAGGGAGTTAAATAATCTGTGATGTCCATTTTGACTCTAAAATCTGTAATTCTTTAAAAGAAATGTAAGAAGCCATAGGTACAGTTTTTAGGGTTTGATGGTTATTTAATGGAATGGGCCAGTGATAGGCAGAGAATGTTTCTTCCTAGTAGATTAATGGTGTTTGTGTCAGAAATGAAAAAGTACAATTATTTTTTTTAGCAATGTATTTTATTTGACAAGATGAATAGGTTTTAATACTATAATTAAATAAAGTAAAATACCTCAGTAGAACAGATAAATAGTTTCCTGACAAAGAGAACTTTAGGAAGAGGGTGGAGATTTCCATGTGTAATCTGTGATCAAATAGATAAGCAAGATTTAAAGAAAAGGTGATGACTCTTGCCTGGTAAGGAAGGAAACAGGAATTTATAAGACCCTATAAGATTCTGCAATGGGATATTTAGATCAGCTTTTTTGTGTTAAGATCTACTTTTTCTGCTTGGAACTTAAATAAGTACAAAAAATTGAATAGCAAGTTTGAATTGCTTGATTTATTGGCACAGCTCTATCTTTAACTGCACTTCCAAATGTTTCATCACCTCACTGTCTATTTCTATGCATGTTAACATATTAAAATGTATTCTGGTAGTTTTCTAATTCATTTATACTACATGCTATATTGCCTTGTGCACATCATTATTTAAAAACAGATTTGTATTTTTAATAGATTTTCTTTCATTGAGCTTACAAAAAATCTCAAAAATTTTTAGTTTTAAGCATATGCTTAGGGTATGGTTGAAATTAATACTTATTTTTCATATTCGTATAGTTCCTACTCTGTAATTTTTCTTTTTTACAGATATTGATGATGCTCAAATACTTCCTCGTTCAACTAGAGTCAGACATTTTTCACAAAGCGAAGACACTGGAAATGAAGTTTTTGGTGCTTTGAGTGAGGAGCAGCCATTGCCTCGAAGTAGCAGCACTTCTGACATCTTGGAACCATTCACTGTTGAACGAGCCAAAGGTGCAGTTCCTGTAATTGACAGTTCATCCCGTCATGCACCAAGCTTGCAGAGTTCCACAGAGGCTTCTTCAATAACTAGATCCACTGAAAGCCACATCACTGATACTCATAGTAGAGAGTCTTCTCTGGAAGTTGGTGATAGCATATATGACCATCTTTGTCACTTAATAGATCCAGTAGAACTTGCAGATTCAGCTTTTGAACAAATCCAGTACATTGACCTTGAAGGAGATGATGATCTTCTCTCCTCCCTGAAAGAATATTTTAAGGAAAACCAGGAAAGTCATAGTAAAAACGAGTTAGGTAAAGATGTAGCTTCACAGGAAGTGATTATTGCAGTAAATAGGGATGAAAGATCATCCTTAGATAAATTAGAACACATAGACCAGGAAAGTAAATCAGAAAATACCACCTCCTTTGTTGGGACTCCTGAAAACATACAGTTTCAAAAAGAATCAAACTCAGCTGTCTTCATGAGTAACAGTGCACCCAACCAGTTAGACAGCTTTATGAGAACAAAAACTTCTGAAAAATGTAAACAACTAAACAGTGATAAACAGTCATTGGAACCTAGTTCGGGTAGCCCTTGTGATAAAGAAAAGAGGAAACATCTGTATAGACAAACAGCCACAGAATTAGATGCCTGTATAGATATAACAATAGCTGAAAAGTTTAAGGGTATGCAAATTAGTGAAAAAATCATTGTCCCACATGTTTTGCATGCCAAGAAAACTACTCTAAAAGCACCTGTTAACCACAGAATGCCTCATGTTACAAGCACTAGCAAGCTTTCTCCAACTAAAAGGAGTTTGTCTGAAACAGTAGCTCATAGAGCCAAAATCATGAAAATTGCTTCTAAAAAACGAAATAGTGTTCACGTTACTTTTAGACCATCTACTGAGTCAGTTCAGTTTTATAACCCTCTGGAAAACAAAGAGGCTCCGTGGAAGATGAGGCTGCGGAAGCTCAGTGGCTTTAGTAGCAGCAGCAATAGCAGCATCAGCAGCCCCCACGCCAGCTCAAACAGTGTTACCGAGCTAGTGAAACCCGGTGTGTACAGGCCTCTAGACGTTGCAGCAGTAAGTAGTAAGACAGTTAAGGAATCTACAGAGATCCCCACCGCCATATTACAAAAAGAAGGAATTGCTAGTAATCAGTTAGGAGGTAGTCGTAGTACTATTAAGTCGTCAAGTCATGAGGCAGGACTACAGCAGGGCTCCCTGGGTGGCGTTTATAAAACTGTTGTACATGCTCTTTCGAAGCCGAAGGCAAATGTTTCCCCACAGAGGCAGAACAGAATGCCACCAGAGGCTCCACTGAGGGATCTGTACAGTCATGTAATGGGCTATTTTGGAAGGAAAGCTGCAGGTGAGCACTAACAGTGTGCAGAGCGCAAAAGGAGAAAGACAGCACCAGTTTGGCTTAATGCAACTGAAGCAAGCTATAAGCAATCAAAAAGCTTTGGGATGGTCACTGCTTTCTCTGTTTGGTTATGCATGCGCCTTTCCCCAGCTGTATTTTTCCCAGCATAAAATGTTTATTTAAATTACTAATTTCCCTTATAAAGCATTTAGTTAAACCTCTTTGCTGCTGAACAAGATAGGAAAGAGGGACATACAGGAAAATTTAATGACCTTCCAAAGGCAATCTAAATCAGATATTTTTCAGAGTGTGTACCACATGAACCTGGAAATTAAGTTTACCGAGGAGTTGGAATACTTTCTCCCCTGCCCCCCAACAATAGTTTACATTTAAAAGGGCCCCAGCTCTATATAATTGGGTTCATTTATTTTTACTGCTGGTTTACTTGATTTTACCTTTTTCTTGGTAGATTACTGTGACATGATATAACATAATGGAAATCAAGGTCCTACAACCAACACCAACATTTTTAGTTAACCGTCATTGAAGAGAAAATTATTTCTTAGACCTCAAAGTGGACTCAGTTACTTTTCATTTACACCATTTGCAAACAAGCTGTAGGCTTTTTAGTTTTGCATTCATTTGTATAGAATGCAAGTTATATCCTTAAAACACTTATCGTTACTTTCTTTTTTCTGAGATTTTAGATGTGCATAAAGGTTTCATGATAGCCAATCATGATTTAAATATGGAACCTCTATGGACAGATTACAGAAAGCAAGATTATGGTAACTGTTTTCTCTTATGTTGATTCAAATTTAAAATAACTTCACAGTTATAGAAAATTAACTTTCAGCAGTAAGGTAGGTTTTGATTTTATTTGTTTAACATGGTTTTGTTAGCATGATTAACAGAACGCTGCATCTTGCACTGAGCCATTAATGCCACTTGAGGGCAGTATTTGACAGCTTAAAAAAGCCTGGCCAAGTAGTGTAAAGATAATTGTATTTCAGAGTGATTTCCTGACCATTTTCTTAACCTGAAATGCTTTGTAATTCACTAGGAATATAAACAATGTCGATATCCTTTGGTTGCAGAGAAATCACCTTTTCTACAGCATAATAGTGAAATAAGTAAATATCATTTTCTGTAAGTTAGTTTCCCAAGTTTAAAACTTTCTTGTTAATGTTAATCATAATATAGTCATAAAAGAAACAAAATAACTATTGTGGGTTTTTTTTTTTAAAACAGAAAAATCGTTGTGAAAATAAATCTCTTTTTTCTTAAAGCAAAAAATTAGATTTGTAGTGAATAGAAACAACATTATGTCAAAATCATAGAATTTTAATTTATTAATATCTAAACTTAAATTCAAGGGATATATTTCTTGCAAATATTCTTTGGGGAAAATGGAATTATAAATTATTAAGGCTCCAAATAGAAGCAGAGGCAGGAAGAAAGAAAAATATACCAGTTTCTTTATAGGCAATATTAACCTAACTTCAGCTAGTGCTTATCTATAAGCTTTCTTGCTGTTTAAGGTTATACTGAAGATTGACTAACATCTGCTTAGTTAAATAAAGTAAATATCAATTTACTAATTCTTAAAATTAAATCTAAAAGGAGAGAAATTATTCGTAGATGCATGTTTGGCAAATAATTGGTATGGCATAGGTAATTTTTTGGCTGTTTTCGTTTTAAATTTAGGAAATGTAGTTAAGTCTTTCTTCACTATATATAGTTATTTATTTATTTTTAGTCAATAAAGAGGACATGAGCACAAAACTGCCCCCTCTTAATAGTGATATTGGCAGCAGCAATGCTAATGTTCCTGATCTGATGGATGAGTTTATAGCAGAACGACTTCGAAGTGGTAATGCCTCAGTAAGTGTTATTTTATTTATTTGATTTTAGAGAGGAGGGTAGAGAAACTAAAAGATATATACATATGTACATATATATGTATATGATATACATGTGGAAAATTTTATTCTAATCAGCCCTCACCCCAAATTTAACCCCTTTTTGAATTAAGATTTTTAAATTATATTTTTATAGTATTTTTTATTCAAAGACCTAAAACAAGCAGCCTTTTAGTTTTGACCAGGGTGAAAATTTGGTATACCTGTTTGCTCAGCTCCTGTGGTATAAGCCACTACCTTCCTAGTTCTTTCTCTATTTTTCATCTTTGCTCTTAGAGTACTCTGTGTAGCCAGC